CGGGCGGGGGCGGCGCCGCACCTGCCCTGGGGCGGCCACGGCTCCCGGCGGCCCCCGCGCGGCGCCGCACCTGGGCGCGACCGGGACTACAGCTCCCGGCGGCCCCCGCGCGCGGGCGAAGTTGGTCGCCATTGCTGCGGCTTTCCCGGGTCCCGCCCTCCCCTGGGTTCCAGAATCCCGGAATCGCGGAGGGTGGAAAGGCCCTTTGGGATCATTGGGTCCGGCCTGTGCCCGATCGCCTCCCTGTCACCCAGCCCAGAGCACTGAGTACCACGTCCAGGGATTCCTTGGACATCTCCAGGGATGAGGACTCCACCACCTCCCTGGGCAGCCCATTCCAAAACCTACCCCCTCCTTTCCAGGAAGGAATTCCTACTGATATCAACCTGAGCTCCCCCTGGCACAACTTGGCCTGAGGTCATTTCCTCTTGTCCTTTGCCTGTTCCCTGGGAGTAGAGCCCAACCCCCAGCTGGCTACTCCCTCCTGTCAGGGAGTTGTGCAGAGCCGCAAGGTGCCCCCGGAGCCTCCTTTGCTCCAGGATGAGCCCCTTTCCCAGCTCCCTCAGCCATTCCTGGTGCTCCAGGCCTTCCCCCAGCTCCGCTCCCTTCTCTGGTCTGGCGACAAATGTCCCGCTGCCATCGGGACAGACAGAGCAATGCGGAGCTCCCAGAGCAGCTCGGTCCAGCAGCTGCCAGTCAGAAAGCAGCTGATTTTATTGAGGAGCTGCTGAAACCTGTAGATTCGCAAGCAGAATGTAGGTCTGTGAAACTCTCTAAACCTGGCACAAAGAACATAAAAAATACGGAGTTTTGAAACCTTCATGAAAGCAAATTCATTTTCCTTGAAAAGCTCAGAAGGCAAGAAGTCTTCGCAGAACTTTGCGAGACTCTTCCACAACTTTAATACAGGATTCGTGCAAAGTTACAGATATTAGAGAAGAAATACTATAAGAATTTTTTATACTCTGATTCACTGAGCATTTAAAGATGTATTTAAAGAATTTCTCGGGGAAAATGGCGGTGGACAAACATGCGTGATTTAAATTTAATATTTCAGTTTTCTGGTTTCCCGTGGTTAACCCCGAGCCCGGGCGGGGTGGGGACCGGCAGGGCTCCCTCCGGCACAGACCCCCCGACTGGTCCCTTCCAGCCTGACCTGCTGCAGTGCTGAAGGTTTGGGATGAGACTTTTGAATTGGCTTCATTGCGCCTTCCCCGAGCCCCCTCTCGTGGCTGCGCGTCCATCCCGTCCCGCTGAGCATCTCCGCAGGAGTTCAGTGTTCTCAGTGAAGGGGCTGCCCCTCCAGGTTATTCTGCGGTACCCAGCTGTCAAATGGAGGATTTGCCTGAAATTGTTCACTGGAGAAATCTCAGGACGGCCGTGCTGCTGAGTGATCAGTGGCAAATCTCCCAGAGCAGATGGCATTTGCTCTTTAGCTTTAAAACAACTCCAGCAATTTTCAGCAAAGTTCCAGGGAAACCTCCAGGAACAGTGGAGCCGTGTGTCTGATATCCTTAGCATGCAAAATGTCAATCCACTGTAATGAACAGAGTTAGGAGCCACATTAAGGGCTGCTCAATAATCATAGGGAGGTCAGATCATGGTTGATATGACAGTATAAAATCACAAAACTGGAGTTTGGAATTACTAGAACAGAACTGGTTCAGAGAAGAGCAAGAAAGACAAGGGCTTCATGCGACAGAGTTCAGTGTGGAGCTCCTGACAGTGGGAGGTGAAGACAGTGGCAGTTGTGGCAGGTGTAAAAGCAACAGGACACATTAATTACAGTAAATCAATACCAAATTATTCTCCTTGGCTGAAAAAGGCTTCCGCCTGTGGGTCGCTGCAGGCTGGGATCCCTCAGCACACACACCTGGGGAGCAGGAGATGGGGTGTGGGGTGGGCAATCACCTTCCCATGCTTCATATCATAGAATCATAGAATCCCAGAATGGGTGGAGTTGGAAGGAACCTTAAATCTCATCTCATTCCACCCCCCTGCCATAGGCAGGGACACCCTCTACTAGAGCAGGCAGCTCCAAGCCCCATCCAGCCTGGCCGTGAACACTCCCAGGGATGGGGCAGTCACAGCTTTTCTGGGCAACCTGTGCCCAGCACCCTCTCAGGGAGAAATTTATTCAAAATACCAAAACTACATCTCTTCCCTTACAGTTTAAAACTTTCCCCCTTGTCCTGTCACTCCAGGACCTTGGAAACAGTCTCTGTTCATCTTTCTTTTTGGCTCTGTTCAGGTACTGACTGGAAGGTCGCAATAAGGTCACCACAAGGCCTTCTCTATTTCAGTCTGAACAATAACAATTGTCTCAGCCTTCCCTTAATCCTCTAAATCACCTCTGTGGCCTCCTCTGGACTTGCTGCAACAGCTGCATGTCCTTCCTATTCTGACACCGCCGGGCTTGAGACAGCTCTGCAAGGAGGGGTCTCATGTGAATGGGGTAGAGGGGCAGAATCCTCCCATCCCCTGCTGCCCATGCAGGAGGATCAGCCCAACACACAGGAGGGTTTCTGGGTGCCGGCACATGTGGATTGGCCATGTCCACTTCTCACCCATCAGCATCCACAAGTCCTTCCCATCCCGGCTGCTCTTGATGCCTTCATCCCCCAGCCTGTCTCTTCCCAGTGGGACTGGTTTTTCCTGAGTATGGGCATTCTTGGTCCATGCTGCAGGAAGAGGGCTGCAGCTGCTGAGCTTTACCCCTCTGACTTCCAGAATGGAATTCTTTGGGGCTGGAAGCCAGGCTGGCGTGAGGCATAGCTCTGCCCAGAGCCATGGCCACAGCCATGCTAGAGGTTCAGCTTTGGGCTCTGGGAGCCCCTTCCCAGCCTGAGCTGTGGGAACAGGACAGAGCCCACCCTGTTTGCCCCACAGCTGACAAGAGCAGCACCTGCTCCTGTAAAAACTGCCTGGCTGAGCTTAGCAGCCATTTGAAACCAGGCCTTTCCTTGTCCTGACAGGAACTTGATGTGTTTGGAGAGATTTCTGCCTCTGCCCAGGACTCCTGGACATCAGGTTGCCAGATGCCAAGCAGTGCAGCACAGCCACATCTCTGGAGAATTGGCTGTGACCCACACCACCAGCCATCCCCAACCCCCTGAACTCTGTGCCATTGCTTCTGCTTTTTGTGAGAGATACAGCGCATTGGAGTCAAGCTCTCATGTCCATATAAAGACCAGATTACATAATTTGACAGACTTCTTGGACAGTTTCCCAATCTGTAGGTCCAATTTTGCAATAAGCACAACTTGAAGCAAAAGTAATTGCTTTAGATGCCAAGTGGGAGCAGTCCCCAGCAATTCATGTGCAAGTTCATGGAAATCTTTTGGGATTGTCTCCTGGTTTGGCTTGGAGTGAGTGAAAACAAGGCCAGGGGAGGTGCCCTTTTGCTCATGTCCATTTCCACGGCTGCCTGACCTGCCCATGAACTCTCAGGAAAAGAGGCAAACGTATATACCTATTCCAGTTTTATAGAACATTTTATCCAAATAACATTTATCAATAATACATCGTATGCAATTACAGACTCAAATGTCACTTATTAAATTTTACAGTTTAGCCTTGATCTATAAATCTTAACACCTATTTTCGAACGAGCTCAAATAATATGGGGAACTTGAACAGAAAGCAAACTTCTTCTCGAATTAACTCAACTAACTTACCTATCTATGGAAAACAGCAAATCACTTAACAAACAAGAACTAAACCTAACATGGATGACAACTATTTAACACCCACCGTTCCTCGACTGGAAACCCCAAAATGACTGTTCTTCCAAAATGAGGGTTTCCTTCCCTAAATCAGATGCAGTCTTTTCTTGGGAATGATGTCCTCTTGATCATTGGCAGAATACACTGGCTAACATCTCTTCCGAACATAAACAGGATAAAAGGAAATTCTCCCCTTGAAAGAATACTCAGAAAGGTGCAATTTTTGTCAACCCAAATGCCCATCTCTTCTCTCCATGTCCAAGCTAGAGCAGCCAGTGAGCAGGGCAAGAGCTGAGGAGTGGCCTCAATTGAAGGATGCAGGGGATGTAAGATCAGACTGTGGCCCCAGGTCAGCAGCAGCCTCCAAGGCCGGCCCATCCTTTCCTCAGGCTTCCCTCCAAGCAGTCAGGGTGTCTCCAGGCAGGGCTGGTGTGAATGGAGCCCTGACTGAGCCCCGCTGCAGGCCTCCAGGCTGGTGTTGCCCATGCCATGCTGTCCCCATCCAGGCCTGGCACAGCGGCTCCGCTGTCCCTGGCCAGGGCAGCAGCTCAGCCCAGCTCTCCCACCTTGGGGGCCATCAGTGCCGGGTGCGACGTCTCCTTCTTTGAAGAGGAGCCCATGGAACTCCTTGGCACTGCCTGATCTGCCCCGCCTCAGTCTGCATCGATGATCCTTTGACCCTCCTGTCCTGAGGCCCTTGCACCTCTGCCTGAGAGCTATGGGACCCTGCAGAGAGTCAGGACAAGTGACCACACCTCTGCTGCTGCTTCCCATTCAGCCAGGATCAGCCATGGTTTGCAGAGCTTGGCAGCGAGTGTGGTTCCTTCGGGAAGGCGATCCAGCTCCATGGGGACCTGTGCCTTCCCCGTAAGACTCAGCAGACCCCAGCTGAGGCACAGGCAGGCTGACTCCTCCCTCACAGGGACACAGCAAGATTCTGCTCTGGAGAATCTCAGGGCTTTCTAAGAGAGCAATGAATGCTCTGAGCAAGAGCAGCTCTGCTCCAGGGAGCTGCAAGGAAAGGCACAGGGGGCTTTCCTCTCATGCAGAGAGTTTTCATCCAGAAGGAACTCTCCCAAGAGAGACTTCAAGATCTCCAGAACAAGAGCACCCT